TATCTCCGCAACTACTAAACCGATCGGGATCAAATTTTTCAAAGTTATGCTTCACACAATAATCTAGTACTTATCGAGCCCTTTTTTCGATATTTTACATAGTTTTTTTTTTTTCTTATAATTACTCAACAATTTTAAGGCGAAAAACCGCCAATTTTATGCAAATGACTGCCATGACCCGAAAAAATTGAATTCGCAAATTCCGGCTCGATAAGTACTAGTTCTGTCTATCTACTTTGAGAAAATATTTTTTTTTTTTTCAGATAAGAAATGGCGGAGGCACGTCTGGTACCGCGAACGCTCTCGAAAAAAACACACCCCGGAAAACGACTGCAATTTTTTTACCATTCAAAATTTTCGAACCCAATTTTCACACAATTTATAATAAATGCCATACTTCAAAATGTTTATTATGGTTTTTTAAAAAAATGCAGTTTTATACACGAAAAAAAATCTTAAACATGACCCCACTTCTAGGTGCTCAGCTATATGTGAGCCCTTCTTCTATATCTCGAATAATTTCCGAGATCACCGTAATAATGAAATTTATTCAATCTGTATTTTTCAAATATAATCAAATTAAGTTGAATAGGATCATTCCTGGGATGAATAGCTTTGACGACAATAACTATTTACTCATACAAATTTTTGGTTAGTATTACCTTTGAGACACCGAAATCCTCAAGTTCACTATTGCATAATATAAAAGCCACTTCATAACACTCTTCAACAATTCGTCTCAGACGCTCTTCGTACAAACTTAGAAGATCAGTATTAAGTAAACCTCTTGCAGTAACAGCCATGGTCAACAATAATATTATAATAAAGAGTAGTGGTGACGTCCACTTTAATCATTAGATGAAGAAGGGTAGGGATAGTTTTAAAATTGCATTCCCGATTTATCTTGTGGATACCTCAGTAGATGATAATTCAAACGATAATTCAAAATGAAGCAGTGTGTTTACATTATAAATCAGGTTTAGCAGATAATGTTAATTTGATTTTGTTCACTTTTTTACCGAGGTTAAATTAAATACCTATTACATTATTATTTAAAAGATTGATACAAATATTCTAGTAATAAGTATATCCTTTTGACTAAAATATTACGGTCAGTATAACTTTAAATTATTTTTGTTGACATCATTTATTCATTAAAACTGGTCGTTTCATGAATTATAATGAGGGCAGGAAAGGGGTAAGAAGAGGGAGGGAGGGGGTAGGACAAAAAGTACCCTTTATCTTTTTGTTGATTCTAAAACTGTTACAGTTGGAACCAAACAAAAAAATATTCCATAGTGGCCTCTGTAACTGGTCAAATGCGATGTTTCCAAACGTTTCGCCATTCTTAACTATCGGCATCTTTTAGGAGGAGGAGGGGGAAGAGGAGTGGAGGAGGAGGAGGAGGAGTGGAGGAGGAGGAGCAGGAGTGGTAGAAGTAATAGTCATAGAAGCAGTAGTAGTCGTATTCTTTTTACTTATTATCCGATCTTACCAGAGCACAAGTTCCAAAAGATTTGTACGCTTTTAAGAAAGTGTAGAATTTCTACGGACCTGAGTGAAATATTCTTGGTTACTTGCAAAGTCCATCGTCACTTCTTAACCCACACGAAAGTACACTCGTACTCCAGTCGAATTAGATCAGAAAGCCTGAAAATTAAAAAAAAATTATTAGTAGACATATTATATTTACTTATCACTTTGTGACGGGTGTGCAGAATGATAATATCAAAAAAGTAACTCGAAAGAAGTGACTCTAAATTCGCAAATTGCAAATAAGTTGCAAAATTACATGCGACTTATCAGAAAATTCGTCATTTTATGTTGTAGGCAATTAAATTACCTAGAATTTAAGATATCTAAAATAATATTTCACCAATTTGTTAACCGCAATATAAAGGTCGAACGCAGAAAAATCAGTTTTAAACTGACGGTCAATCCAATGACCAATATGTGTGCCAAACGCCGATTCAATTGATCCTGAAATTGTTGCTTTAGGTATTTTTAGTTAATTTCGTTCGTTTAATTGTTTAATTATTATACGTTAATATCGTAGGTATAGGTTCTAATTGATTCCGTTTAATTTTTGATGGATGATTTGTAAATATATTTAATATAGTTAATCTTCAATTTTGCCTTTGTTTCTAACACCAACAGTTTTAAAGTATTTTGGTAAATGCTTATTTACGTCTCTAACATAAATATTTTCATTTAATTGGGAAGAGGCAAGGTTGTTGCCTTAAACTACTGAGGCCCCACAGTGACATTCCTCTAAATATTTCATATTATTTTCAGAACGTACCGTACGTGGTATAAGATCTAAGGCCGACGATATTTTCGCATCTATTCAAATTATTCCATGAACTTGGATGGATACAAATTCTAAAAGATGAAGTAGGTAATAGATAATCATGTGATATCTCTAGCCAGGTATGGAAACAGACAAAAGCTAACTTTAAGCTGTCAAAGTAACTAAAACGAAAAGTCAAAATAAGTTTAGAAGACGAAAACTAATGGATTTTCGAAACGTTAACAACTTTTTAATGTGCCCGATATAAAGTGATATGTATTTTGTATTTAACTGCTTTTTTAGATTTTTGAGATTTTTTGGTTAGGCAAAACTATTTTCATGAAAATAACCCTTGACTGATCCTATTGGCGCAAGGGTTTATTTTACTAATTTTAGAATTTTTTTTCAGTTGGCAAAATTCCCAAAAAATAAAGAAACAAAAACTATGCCACAAATAAACAACTTATATGATAATATAATATACAGTTGTATGTTCCAATTAAAACTTCCCACATGGAAAATATCGAAATTAAAAAAAAACAAAAAAAAAAAAACGAAAACATGGGGACACATGATGGCGTAAATTTTGGTGTCTTGGAAACTACCCTTTAGGTAGGGGCGAAAAATATCCTTAAACTTTAAATGACATCCTCTGTTTAGTGATACCTAATTTTAAAGTTTTTTCAATTCTGCACACGACGAGGTACGACTTTAAATTTTGGTTTAGACATGACAATAAAATCACCACTTAAAGAATAAGACTAAATATCAATGAATGAAAGGATGTTGTTTTATTAAGTGTTCAAATTGGTTTCCTTCCGCTTCCATACAATTATAAAATCTTGGCTCATTTGATTCGTCGTTTATCTGTCAATACAAAAACTTAAAAACTTCATACTCTATCAGTTCAACTTTTTTTCCTGTTTTACTTTAAACGAGACAATATTGTCTCGTCTTGTTTTGTCGAGACAATATTCCATAAAATCATCACAAAGTCGATTGAATTTCAATTCGTGAAAATGATTTATATAATTGTTAAAAAAGTGAATATAATTAGTTCGTTCTACAATAATAATGACTGTGTACGACAGTGTGATCGTCATCCTGACAAAAACATTTCGCATCGGTACGTCTTGAATCGCCAGATCTAACGCCCTTAGACTTTTTTCTATGGGGACACTTAAAGTCGAAAATTTATGCAACACGACCGAACTCATTTGAGGAGCTTCGTCGGCGAATTGTTGAAGAATACCGTCAGATAACGCCCGAAATGCTTCGAAATGTTCGGTGGGAAGTGGAACAAAGATTTTATTTTATGGAAGCGGAGAGAAACTAATTTGAACATCTAATAAAATAACATTCTTTCATTCATTAATATTTTGTCTTATTCTTTAAGTGGTGATTTTATTGTCATATCCAAACCAACCTTTAAAAAGTCGTGTGTCTTCGTGAGCAGAATTGAAAAAGCTTTAAAATGAGGTGGCACTCAACATAGGATGTCATTTAAAGTTTAACGCCATCATGTGTCCCTCTTGAAAACACAATCGACATGTCAGGTTTTTTTTTAATTCCGATATTTTCCAGGTGGGAGGTTTTTATTGGAAAACTCTGTAGATAAGATTAACATAGATAAATAATTTCAAATATAATAAATAGATAAATATGAATTCTATGTTCCTGTATATAATTCATTGGAATTGAGCATCCCAAAAAAATTAGAGGGAGATATTCTGAATCTTGATGAGCCACAAAATATTGTCCGAAGAACTTCACTATTCAATAAGTTAAAATTGATTGTAATTACAAGTACAACAATTTTATATAGTGAATAAAATATTGTCAAAGTTTAGTCGAAAAGTTTCCTAACATTCAACTACAATTATGGAACAAGTTTTCAATTAGATGTTACTGAAAAACTGTATAAAGTGAATTAAGTAATTATGTTCTTTTTGTAAATGGAACTTAGATAATATGAATATGAATATTACATAATTTTTTACACCTAATCGTCTCATTAAAGGAAAAACGCTATAATACCTTAATGTAGCTATTAATTTAGTCTTATCCATATAAAAACAACTTCTTAAGACCAAATAATTTTATACTCAAAGAGATACAGTCGGGAATAATGAATTTTAATTTTCAGTTATATTTTCAAATCGATTTTACAAGGTTAAAATTTTTCGGGGTGTGGATAAATGATGGTAAAAAGAAACCTCGATTATACCCACAGTATTTCTGTGTCATTAATATATTTTTTATATTTTTGTTCAACATACTACAGTTCATACATTTGAGTTATACTTCAGACAGCTTGAGAAGTATTGCCTCTTCTGGATACATAATTGCCACATGTTTCATGTCCAACGTAAAATCTTTCTTCATGTTCAGAAACAGGCATCGCTTTGAAAAGTTATCATCTGCGCTAAATGAAAATGTTTTCCAACCAAAAAATAATTTTCAACTTCTACTAACAAAAAAGGTTTTAAGCCTCTATTCGCATGTAAAAACTTCACTTTTAGTGTTCTGTTCTGTAGCAGTATTTTCGTCAATGGTGAATCCATTATTTCATAAAAATAATGATCAGGATTTAGTAATGCCTGCTTGGTATCCATTTGATATCTCTACTTTCTTGGTTCATAACGTTGTTTATATTCATCAATGTATAGCAGTATTTTATACTTCTTATATAAACATTTACGTGGATATAATGTTGGCTGGATTTGCAACATTTATTGCATTGCAATGTGATTTACTATGTGACAGTTTGAGGAAAATACCTAAAGAAAAATATGTACTAAACAAATATGTTGAACATCATTGGAAAATTCTAAGGTAAGTAATTAGATTGGTTAAGTATCGTGCTCATGGAAGCTTCAATTCTGATTTAGTAGTTATTAATGTGTCAAGCAAAAATATGTTAATGCCACCAAACTGCAAAGATAAAATGTGTTTTTCTCCAACCGTCACAAACTATGATTTTAACTGTCAGAAGTCTCTAAGGTTGATATTTTCCTTACTGAAAAAAAATGGTATCTTAACAACAAAAGTATTCACTTTTAATCCTTAGATTAAAAGTGTTAATCAAATTTTATTCAACATTATTTACAATCATTTTTGTTTATCCACATTGAACAAGTATTAAACCACTGAAACTGCCACTACCTTCATTCTTGTAACAATTCTCAAAGAAGTCCAACACGTTTTCATTAATAGTTATATTATTTTCATATGTTGTGAAATTAGAAATAACAACGGTGCTTGGTTTATCATTACCACTATCAACTTTCAGTATTCTTTTCGCAATATTTTCTTTATTCAAAAGAGTCTTCGATGTAGCCTTCCGCCACAGTGTTCGATTTCCATCCTCCGTGTCTTTTAAAACAAGTGGTGTCACCACCGCCGTCAACTAAAATGGCAGCAGACATTCGTCATAATGCGTGTCCACTGTACTTTTTCCAGTTCAGTTTCAAAAATGCTGCCACTTCTAGCGAGACGGCACTGATTTTATGAATACTGACCACCATTCCATGACAGTTTCCACTAACATATCTGAGAAATAATCGACGTTCTATCAGTCCTCTTGGTTTTGGTATTGGGAGTTTTTATAATTAAGGCGGATTTCACATCTTCAATATTATCAATTGTTAAATTAAATAATTCATAAGAACGGCATGCGCCTGCAACCCCCAATGTTAGGACGACGTATAAAGAAGCTTTTTAAATATTGTGTTCTTTTATTTTTAAAGCGTTTACCTTCATCATCAAATATATATTATCAGGTGCACCATTCAAAAAACAATCAAGTTGCTCTTTTGTAAATACTCGCGACTTTTTCGGTATATCCCTCATTTTGTCTCTTGAAAAAATCACGTGAATATTTGCTTGTATCAATCCCATTCTTTATATCCAACGTTGACCATTGAATGTTGTGACCAAAACGGCTTCATTTTATTTACTATGTTTAAGAAATACACCATCAATACATTTTTGAATGCAACTTCCATCCATAAAACGTTGATGGACACATTCATAAATTTCTCGAAATTTCTTTGGGAATACAATCACTAATGGACTCAATTAGCAATACGGTGACTAATGTTTGACAAATTGTCCATGACTGCATCGATGTATCCTACTTACCTACTTTGCTTTATTATCCAAATTTGGTTTGAATAATTTCAAAGCACAAATTAATAATAATTCAATAAAGGATTTAGGTAGGAGAAAACGTAGCATGTTTTATTCGGATTGAAAGTGTCTTTTTTTCACAATTTTGTATTTGCGAGGCGAAGCTAAAAGTACCTAACACTTTTAATCCTAATATAACAATATACTATTATTTTGATTTATAAATACTCTATTTGTACATAAATTTTCGCTTAGGGAAATAAAATTTGTATTGGCTTTTATAGAAAATTAAAGTAGTGCAGAAATGTATCGAATCTCATGGTATGCATAAATTGAATACAGTATTTTATGAAAAAATATGCCGTGTCAATTTTCTGTTTAAAAAATGCAGTACATTATGGTATGTTACAAAATTATTAATATCAATTAATCTTATTTCATTTTGTTTTAGTTTTGCCAAGGATACGGAAACACTTTTCAGTCAAATATATTTTGGACAATTTATTAATAGCACGTTAGCCTATTGCATGACATTATTTTTACTAACTTTGGTAAGTTTTAAGACATAAATTATGTATCTATTTTCCAAAAGAAACAGTATTTTCGTGTTAATATGCATTTACTTGTTAAACTATTACTAAAGATAACTAAATAGAAGAATGACAAGAAAATGTACTCAAAATTTCAATACATTTGCATCTATCCGTCTTGGTATCAAAATAAAATTCATGGAACACTAATGGTGTTAAATACAATTAAAATTTAAAGAAGATAAATTTAAAAGTATGTTTAATTTTGAACCGTTTCGAAATTTGAGCTAACAATTTTGATGTAAAATGTTTGTCTTGATTAGTAACTGTAATATCTGTTTTTCTGAATATACAAACTTTCAGTAATGGTTTGCTCTTGTGGAGCTTGTGAAAATATTCTTAATCTTGTAGAGTTGAAATTGTTACCCAATTCCCATAGAGATAAGAGAACATCAATATATAAAATGATATTTTCTCTAAGGGAGAAGAATTGGTGGTTGTAATTTCTATTGGTTTCACATACTTTCTTCTATCCAATTTATTTTTTTGACAGGATTCAAAGTTCTTTATAAAGGTTTTTATATCGTTTTTCATATTAGACCATTAGGCAAGGGAGATAAATGATTTTCTAGAATTTTAGAAAGGTCTTTCGGATGTGGATTCGCTAATAACTTGTGGTAAATCTTTAACTTTATATCTGTATTTCTATAACTAAACCTTACAATTGAATGGAATTTATTCCACTTTAAAGAGACAAATGAAAAACGGATTCTAGGCAGACATCAAGGAAATATAACACATAGTTAGTTGTTGTTTTAATTTTACTAGTGAGTTGAAAATGTCTTCAAAAGTTGACGTATCCCAATGATGGTCTTTAATGAACAAGTAAGTTTTTCATTTCCTTGGAAAATGCAAACTATATCGTTTTTTGGGGATTTTTATTTTAATTAACTTGCGTGATTGTTTTGCTTAATATCGTTTGACAAGTTTTCATTATATTCTAGGTCATGATGAAATGGTCTTAATTTTATAGCTGCCTCCGAAGTCTGATGTAGTGAGATTTTTTTGAAATAGAATGGAAACGTTGGCTAAAAAAAACACCTATTATCTTATTATTTATGTTATGTAAAGACATCAATTATTAAAAATAAAGAATTAAATAGTATCAAACAATTTTTCTCTATTTTGGTCTTCATCACCAATATCCTACCTTTGAGATTTTTTCTATGTCTCTTCATGATGATTCACTTTAAAAAATTTGTTGAGTTAACGATAGTGTGTGTTAACAACTGTGTGCTAGAACTTTCTTGTGGACAATTTAATATGATTCTGTTCAGTACAATTAATTAGAATTATTAAAATTTTGTAGCTGGATTTTGTATTGTTTTAGGTGGACAGAACCAGTTTTGAATTTTTTTATTTAGTATTTTATCAAACTTCCATGTTTTGTTTGTTACTTGTACCCTGTTGGTTTTCTTCCGAAATAACAACAAAGGTGAGTTTTAAATGAATTTGTACTCGGACAGATACAACGAGGAAAATTAAATTGGAAAGCCTGTTATATTTATATTATTTTAAATAGAACAAGAGTATCTTACTCGGTGCAGCTTAAATTTTATTTTGAAATTAACAAAAACATGGCAAAAATATTTCAAGACCTTTTAATACATTACGATTTAATCAAAGTTACTATTGATTAAAATTAATACAGCACAAATTCTTCTACACAAATAATCTGAATGTGCCATATTAAAAGTGAAAGCATGTAAAATTTAATAAGTCAAACCAGCCTTCGACAATTCCTGGTTATTTGCCGACCACCTATTAGAGACCGAATCTGTTGCCTTGGTATTTTACCTGGAATTTCTAAAATTCCAGTGTCAACCAATATCTGATTTGTGACCTCACTTTTAGTAGTAAATCTTGAGGCCGCAGGTTAAGTAGATTGTCCTGACTAGGAAGATCCCGCCACCATCACCGCACCAAGACATCATCAAAGAGGGACAACATGTTGTTGAACGAAGATGTCCAAATCCTGTTCGATTCCGAACTGATCGTAGAAGCTGGAAACTCAGACTTAGGAAAATTTTTTGTTGAGCTGAAGTAAATAGACATGAAACAGGAGAAATTCCGCTGAGACACCTCTGAAACTGTACAGGTTTATTAAGGACAATTCTGCATCGCCGCAACTAAGACACCGCTCTCACTTTTGTCGTAGCGCCACCGCCGCCTGCTTGTCATACCAACCGCGGCAAATATACCACCGATCAGCCATCCCTCTGTCCAGCTCAGCACCAGCACCATCTACAAGAGAGTAAGGAAATAGAACCTGCATTTCTATGGATGGACCGATTCCGTGGAGCTTTGGAGAAACTCTGTATATCCTAAGAACACAGCGACATTCCAACTTCTGCTGAACTACTCGACTCGTATGAAATTTTTCAAAGTAATGTTTTAGGAGCAACCGTTACTTACGGAATTGCTGAGATGACTTTATTGGTGACTGCAAACATTTCCCTCTGTCAGCCAATTACTAATAGTTCCTGGAACAAAAGATATAGCACCACCGCTAACAGATAGAGGTATATGGCCGAGACTACCTAGTCGCTTTACAGATTTTGCTATGCCGACATAAAGAATTCTTTTTTACACCGATATATGGAAATGTGAGTCTATATCGGTAGTACATCCGTTAAAGATAAATCCAGAGCCCACGCTACCTGATTTGCAAAGGAGAGGTATACGAAGCCATTCGGCGAGATATAGTGGCCAACCCCTTTACTGCAGCGACCATTAGCTTCTTCCGTAACCAGATACCTTCTCGTCCACCTGCAACATGCCTACCGGCAAGGTCCCAGATGCCTTCGACGACCAGATCTGGCATTGATCCTCTGGGTCGGAAAACTAAAAAAGAACCGTACCTATACCGTTTTACCCTAGGCTCGCCTCGGAAAGCATATTTGCTAACCACCCGGATAATCGACCGTACATACCAATCTGGATTCAGAGCAAGACCTAGGCCTTGATATATAACGTAACACTCCGCTCATATGTAGGCGACCGCATTCATCCATTAGGCCTACATTATAAGACCGTTACCACGCCCGCAGGGCAGTAGGCAAATGGTAACTTGGTTACAGTAGCCAAGGTGTACCAGAACAAATGTATCATCCGATGTTGTCTAAGAACACAAACACAATTTCTTGATAAATCCCTTCGCCGCCATCGTTATCCTGGATAATAAAGTTATTTCAACACCTAGCAGCAACCTAAATCCCGAGGACGTTCTTTCATTAACCGCATCCCCGAAAGAAGAAGAGCAGCTAAACTCCTTCTTGGAGACCGAATTACCCCGTTTGAAGGATTTACATGGTATCATCGACTTGATACAACACCACATCCACCTTTCGCAATCCGAACCGATAAAAAAATAGAATCGCATGCAAAACCCAAAAAGGACATTATCAACAACGAAATTAATGAGATGCTACACAATGGAATAATGGAACCATCAAATAGTCCATGGAGTGCACCCGTTGTTATAGTTCGCAAAAAGGAAATCCAAGATCCTATATCGATTTCTGAAAAGGCAACGAAGCTACCGAGAAAGACGTCTACCCGTTGCGTTAAGTCAGTGGAATACTGGACAAGCTCTGCAAGAGCCGATGCATCCCCAGTATACAGGGTTCTTCACGGTAAGTGGCCTATTAGACGTTTCAGAGGAACCAAAGACAATATGACTCTGAAATTTTATTTACGGGGGTTATCAGATATGTTCTCTTCAATGAAAATAAAGCCATCAATGTAGCACTTCCGGTTATACCGGAAGTAGCTGTCAACTTCGTTATTTTAAATGGAACACCACATATATTATTGCATTATCGACAAGATAAATTAAAAATAAGTCAAAAATGTTAAAGCTACCCTGTACCTAAATCTAACCGTTTTCGAGATAATCGTCATTTTGCAAAAATTTTGACAGATGCAAGCGTTTCGAAAATTCCTTATATCTTTCTTCGTTATGGGAGCTTTCACTTGGTTTTCAAAATTACCTGAAGAAAATTATACTAAGTGTCCCATTTTTCACGTTACATTTTGAAAACTTAAAACCGACAAAACTTTTTATATTCAAATGGATCACCCTATATCTTTCTACATCATATTATAGAAAATCAAATTCTCTTTTCACGGATATAGTCAGTGTAGGAGTTACAATTTCAATTTTCACAGATATTTGCAATTTACTTATATTCTCAAGAATATTACGTTAAAAATATCATCAAAGGTGCCTTGAAATTCAAATATTGGTAGTGTCATTCAGTATCAAGTATTTGCTCGACAAAAAAAATGCAAAATAATATTCTAATGAAGATATTTTGAATTATTTCTATATCCATGGAACATTCACCGTGAATCAAAATTACTAGCTGTATTTCTCTGATTTGGTATTTTGCAACTGAAACAGATAAGAACAATGAATTAAATTATTTCGGTTGGTTTTCTTAGAATTTTTTTCTAATTTTTAATGTTGTAAATGTTTTTAAAGAATAGCAAAGACAATATATAGATAATTTCAAATAACTAATAAATACATTATTATAATTTTATGATATTTGGAATGAAGTTGAGATGATACTATAACTTACAATTTTGGTTACTGTACATTTCATTGTTTTCTTAATGAAAGGATGGTTATTTACTCTTTATTGCACTTGCAGTTGCTAATAATAGTATCCCAATGGAAGGAAATTTTATTAGGTAGGTATTATTTTTTTGTAAATATACCCCCTCATTATTTAAAAGATGCAACAAACGTGAAACAACGCACTTTATTAATGTAATTATGAAAAAAAAATGAATGTTCTACAAAGAACGCTATTGTATGTAGATAGCCGAGTTTCATTCTCGTCCAATTTTTCAAATTTTGCAAAATACCAAATCATAGAAATGCAGCTAATACTGATTCATGGTGAATGTCCGTCCCATGGATATAAAATATCTTCATTAAAATAATTATTCTGCATTTTTGCATTTTGTCGAGAAAGTACTTGATACTCTTGTAGAATACTGAATGACAATACTAATATTTGCCTTTTAGGGCACATTTGATGATATTTTAATATATTCTTTAAAATGTAAGTAATCCGCAAATATCTGAGAAAATTGAAACTGTAACCCCTACAATGTCTATATCAGTGAAAAGAGAATTTGATTTTCTATAATATGATGCAGAAAAATACAGGGTGTTCCATTTGAATTTAAAAAGTTTTGCCCGTTTTAAGTTTTCAAAATGTAACGTGAAAAAATAGACACTTAGTATAATTTTCTTCAGGGAATTTTGATAGCGGAAGCTAGTGCATCTTATGTTCTTTGTGTATTCCGAAAAGCAAGTAAAAGCTCCCAGAATGAAGAGAGATATAAGGAATTTTCGAAACGTTTATATCTGTCAAAATTTTTATAAAGTGTCGATTATCTCGAAAACGGTTAGATTTAGGTACATGCAAGCTTTAACATTTTTGATTTATTTTTAATTTATCTTGTCGATAATGCAATAATATATAGGGTGTTCCATTTAAAATAACGAAGTTGACACCTACTTCCGGTATAACCAGATGTGCTACATTGATGGAATTATTTTCATTGAAGAGAGCATATCTGATACAAAATTTCAGAGTCATATTGTCTTTGGTTCCTCTGAAACGTCTAATAGGCCACTTACCGTGAAGAACCCTGTATATTTATGACAATACTGGCAGATATCACTTACCGCTGAGAGCAAACCGATCATTGCCTTTACTGTTCCCGGCAAAAATCTGTCCCAATTTTGTTTCATGCCTTTTGGACTTCACTCGGCTCTCGCTACATTTCAGCGATTCCTAGATGGGATCATTGTACCTGAAATGGAACCGTATGCGTTTGCTTACCTGGATGACATCATCGTGTTAGGGGAGACGTTTGACAATTCACGAAAAGTATTTCGCCGACGGATAGTTACCTTGCAACTAAACCCCAACAAATGCTAATTCTGCAGGAAGCCACTAAAATATCTAGGACATATCGTCACCGCTGAGGGAATAAAAACTAATCCTGAAAATGTAGAATCAATCGAGAAATTTCCCACACCTTGAAACATTCGACACGTCCGCCGTTTCCTAGGAGTTGCTTCCTAGTACCGACCCTTTGTACTGGCATTTTCCCAGATTGTTACATCGTTAACTCGTTTATTTCGGAAGTTACCGCTTCAAATGGACCAGTGAGTAAGAAGAAGCCATTAAGCACTTGAGGAACTGCCCACCGAAGCCCCGTTTTTAAACTGTCCATACTTGAAAAATCATTTACACTCTAGACCGATCTCTCCGACTATTGATTGGAAGCAACTTTGACACAGAACATTGATTAATATGACCCAGTGATAGTTATACGAGTAGTAGTCGTACTCTGCCTGCCGTCAATGAACGGGAGTGTTTGGCTATGTGAGGTATAGAGAAGATGAGACCGTATCTTGAAGGCTATCATTTCACCGTCCTGACCGACGATTAATCTCTGCGATGGCTGTATTCTATTAACAGTCCCACCAGCCGTCTAACCAGATGGAGCATATTGCTGCAGCAATACGACTGCGAAATTAAAAACCGCAAGAGAACCTTAAACCAGGTAGCCAATGACTTGTCCCGTTAACCGATGGAGAGAACTTCTTCTGCACCAAATATCGGAGAATTGTGCGCCCTTAATATGTAATTTATATTAGAGATCTTTCGAAAATTATTACTCTTAGACGATGCAAATTCTCTAATTTGTTTTAATAATTCTAAGGGCTACTACAAAGATCTGAGGATAGTGACAATCAGATCCCACAACTCAAGGTGTATATATTATTGGATGATGAAAATTCTTTATTTCTACTTAATAATTTCAACTGTCATTGCTCCAACCTGTGGCTGGTGAGGATCATTTGCTCTGATAGGATGCTTATAATAGGCCTATATTTTAGGATTTTTGAGGTATACTAGTGACACCTCTTTCCCACGACTCGAAATATATCTTTTTTGATCTTCCATCTTGAAAAAATGGTAAAGCACTAAAGTTTTAGGAATTTCACTTACGGCCTCAAAAACCAATCGAATGTTAAATTTCGGAGACGTAAACCAAATTTGTGTTTCTTTAAACATTATTTTGTCGCTTATTTGAAATTTTATAATTACAGTGATATACAGGGTGATTCACAAATGGTGACCAAAAATTAAACCTCGTATTTTTTGGTGAATTTTGAGGGGAGTTTTTCCTATAAAACATTGTGCAAAATCTGAGGGCTTTTCCTAAAATTTACATGTTCCAGTGGCGGAGATACAGGGTATCGGTGGCATATTTTTCTAAATAAAATAGTACGCCACTACTTTACAGTCATGATATTTTCGGATTCGTCTTTCAATTTACTACAAATTACTACTCTCTTATGTTTTTCGAAAAATGCCTGATTTTCGAGGAAACTTAAAAAACTAACTGAAAACACTTTTACTTAAATGACACCACAAGCACTAATAATTCGGTTGTTTATTAGCCCACTATGTAATTTTAAAAAGCATTATATTCAAATATCGAAGTTTGTTCTCAGTTCGTTTTTAAGTTTTACTCGAAAATCAGGCTTTTTTCGAAAAACATAAGAGAGTAGTAATTTGTAGAAAATTGAAAGACGAATCCGAAAATATCATAGTTGTTACCGTAAAGCAGTGGCGTACTATTTTATTTAGAAAAATATGCCACCGATAGCCTGTATCTTCGCCACCATAAATTTTAGGAAAAGTCCTCATATTTTGGACAATGTTTACATAAATACATGTGCCCAATTTCAAATGATTTCACTTACTAGTTTTTAAATTATTTAAAAAAATTTAAAATATTTTTTTTATTAAGTCAGATAAGGATATTTTTTTAAATAATTATGAGGAGTTGTGAATAATAAATGACTTAAGGGTGAAAAATTGAACGAAATTAGTTCTACCAATATGAATGAATATCTAGAACAGGACAAAAATATTATGAAACACCTTTTGTGATAAGGAATGGGATAATAGGGAATTTGTAGATTTGTTTAGTAAATTTAACAACTAAAAATACACCCACTCACTGGTTCCATGGTAATCTTCACGATGTGCAGGATAAAAAATACCAAATTATCAAAACCAGTATAATGATATGTACATATTAGCATGATCAGAAAAAGAGGAGAACACAGAAAGCAAGAAATATACAGGGCGCTTCGTTAAAAAAAAACACAAGTTTGATTTTTCTATGAAATTATTATTTGAAAAATGTCCTAAAATGTTTGTACCAGTAAATCCTAGATAGAAAAGTAAAAAAATGTGAGGGGGGTAGAATGTGAATACCCCAGTAGATATAGAAAAATTCGGAAATAGAAACACACCAAGATTTTACTTTGACATGACATACACAACTGCTATCAGTTTTTTCCCTAAAGTTAACTGATACTCTGTACTCATAATTATTCTTATTTTTTAGAGTAAGAACATTCCAATTGCCGCATATGAATGTTTTTGGACAGATAAACCAAATTATTTCAAAAAAGATTTATTATTTTTCATACACATGTCACAGGAACCAATTAAATTGTATGCCATTGGATTCTTTCATATATCTGTGGAAATTTTTGTAAAGGTAAGTATAACGAAGGACAATTGTCTTATAAAAAAGCGGTGAGTGGGAGAGACTCATCACTCATTTTAAAGCCTAGTGTTTATTTTTTTATGCTAAAACATAAGGAATAATAATAAGAATGGAACTAATCATTAACGGTATAATGTAAAAGTAACATTTTTTTAAAATCGTAAGTAAAGTCATGTTAATTTGCAAAAATAATAAATATTTAAATATCACTAAATTTCATCTATCCCTCCATTGAAGTGGGCCACCATATATTACATATTTCTAATTTTTGCGGCATAACACTTTTAGAAAAAGCATTTAAAAAAATTTTTTAAACAAAAGTTTCACATTTTTTGGTGCTAAATCGAAATCCGCAATAAAAAAGATATATATTACTTTATTTGAAACAACTGACTGGGGCAAGGTCCATTTACTATTAATAATGTAATTTTACAAACAAGAATCATTGCTGTATTCTTACTATGCAGCGTAAGGAGAAAAGAACTCAACTTTCGGGTGCCCATTGAGACTTAATCCCCGCGATAGGGGAAAATTTTTTATAAATTAGCCGAAAGACACTTTCCATAAGGATACGACGAGGTCCTTTCAACAATGATAGTTTTGAAAATTTTTATATAAAATGTTAAATAATAATTCAAAAAGCATACTTTCTTTGAATGGCAAATAAATAGGTACTGATTTAAACTTTTTTCATCGGAAAAAAGCATGAAATTCTGCTTTTTCAGCTTTTGCAAAGCTTGATATATTCATTCTCGTACCTCTAAAATCTCAGAAACCATATTAACGATTTTTTATTAAAAATTTAACAGAAGCATACAGTTTATTTCAAAATTTAATCATTAAAACCATTTATCATTTTTTATGGAATTTGATATAGGTACTAACATTTTGAGGGGCATTTCTGATTAATGAAAATTGTTTAATAAAAAACACTAGTGCGGCTTTTCAAATTTTGTGTTATAAAAATAACTCTTGTGAATCTGAAAGGCACCAAAATGACCAAAAATGCAGAATTTCATGCTGTTTTTTTAACATTTTGAAAAATATTTAAAATATTGATTCTATGGATTGGTGTCCATCTGAACGCGAGCACACTGTATTTATACATCACATTGTTTTAGATTCTACGGTTATCTCTCTCTTACTTTGCTGTATTGAATAACTTAATGGGTAACGAATCTGAAAACAAGTAGAGATATAGGGTAGGGACAATTTAGATTATATTCTGTTGTTTTATAGTCACTAAACTACAAACGACGTTATGTTATAAACACATCCAGCAAATTCTATTAGATAGTTAAGTGTAAACTAAATGTAGCACTTGCTGTATTTTAAATAACTGTACTTTATTAATCACTAATGCAATAAATAATTATCAATTTAGATATTTTTTATTTTATTAAGATTTACATATTTCTTCTTTCAGACATTTTGCTATTTACAAAATTAATGATCGTTATGATCAAAAGGTTGACTGTTTTATAGAATATTCTGTTCAAGGTGACTCATTCTGGAAAAGATTGAAAGTAGACACAGAGAAAAATTAATATAGGTGTGTTCTGCTCTTTTTCGATCTAAATCTAGGGTAAACTGATTATTTTTCTATATACAGAATTAGACAATATTTGTCAATATTGGCTAATTCAGTAATTCTAAAGAGAATGGAGGAGACACGGAGTATAAAGACTGAAAATACCATGCACACAGTTAATGGAAATCAGCAACTAGTCAAATTGTCTGAAAATGAAATATGTAATAATTTGAGATGTCCTAATCAAAAAGTTGTCATGGGCCCAAGGCCAGTCAAATTGTCGAAAATACCTCGTTTTTGCCAAAATTTAGTTCAGTAAACAAAGACACATAAAAATAAAGAAAAATTTCGTAAAACTAAATGAACTACTTTACCCCAGCTGAATGTTAGGGCTTCATTTTCAAAGTAACGCAAAAAACAGTTTTCATTCATTAAAAAAAAATTAAACATTTTAGAAAAAAACGTTTTAGACAAAAGTTCTAGAACTTTTTATAGCAAATATTTCGAATCGATTCCGATGTCAACTGATAAACAAATTTATTAATTATTGCAAAAAAACTGTTAAAAGTCGCATTTTTTAAACATCTATATCTTTAAAGCGAATACATTTTTTTACGAATCTTTCCTAATATGTAGTCCTTGGCAAGTAGACTAAGTGCATTCTTGTAAAATTACAAAATATTTGATAGTTTTGCAAAAATTGAGTTTTTCGAAAAAAAAGGTATTTTTTTCAAGTTTCGATAAATCATACAGTAATGCACTTCGGTGACCCATCTTGAGCTCAAAATTTTTTCTAAGAATTGTATTTTCCCGTGCAAATTGTGCACGCATTGCAAAATAATTGGAAATATGCGAAAAATCTACCGAAACTTTGACTTCTTTTTTCGGGTTGAAAAATGTACATCTTTTTCTTGTCGTTGAAATTTAATCGGAAGATTATATCAGAAAAGTTCTATGTGCTATGCTGTTTTAAAAAATACATAAGGATAAATGTTTCAAAAAGTCTGGCTATTAATAGTAATTTCAATCCCCTGTTATTAAAATTTATTGTTTATTTATTATTTAGTCTACCAGGTAGGGATTCAAAATCGCGATCACTTGATTGACAGAATCAATGAAGCATTTCAACAAAACAAGAAATTACATTAAATATTACTACTACCATATAAGAACGGGCCAGAGCTTGAATAAGAAATTTTAGTTCCCATTTCGAACATAACAATAAACTTTTCAGTAGATATTTCGTATCTGTTCCGTGTTAATTGTGTACATATTATGTTTAAGAATATAAGTAATATACAGTGAGCGGCAAAAGTATGGAATATATTTATTTAAAAATCAGATGTTCGTTATTTGAAAAATCGCTCGGACCCGTCGAATTATATTTTTAGTTGCCCATTTTCTGAAGCAATTTTCATTTATACAGGGTGGCCCAAAAAAAAATTATGAAATTAAGGCCAACTTTTTTAAATGGAAACCCTAATTTTTGTATTTTTATTCAATTCTTCATGGAATTCTGATCATTTTTTATGTAACATAACCTATACCTATCTCTAACAATTTTTCAAGATAATGGCATTTGAATATAGAATAAGGAAAATTTTCCCTGCTGGTTTTCAAATAAAACCACGTTTACTTTTCCATCTTAGATTTGTGTGGTTCACAGAAAGTTGCTTCAAATCAGAAAAATCCATAAGAAATAAATGGTTCGGTGCGAAAAATTTGCAAAATAACCTGGCTCGTAATTTAAATAGTGACATTTAACAAAATCATATTTTATACAATAAAATTATGCGTTTTTAATTAAATTATACCTAAATACCTCACTTATATTTTTTACATTCAAGTCATTGCGTCCTAATGATCAAGATAAATCACCGAACCACTTATTTCTTATGGATTTTTCTGATTTGAAGCAACTTTCTGTGAACCACACAAATCTAAGATAGAAAAGTAAACGTGGTTTTATTTTAAAACCAGCAGGGTAAATCTCAGGGTAATTTTTGAAAATTTTCCATATTCTATATTTAGACGCCATTATTTCGAAAACGGTTAAAGATAGGTATAGGTTATGTTACATAAAATATGATCAGAATTCCATGGAGAATTAAATAAAAATACAAAAAAGTGGGGTTTCCATGTAAAAAAGTTGGCCTTGATTTCATAACTTTTTTGGGCCACCCTGTATAAATGAAAATTGCTTCAGAAAATGCGCAACTAAAAATATAATTCGACGGGTCTGAGCGATTTTTCAAATAACGAACATCTGATTTTTAAATAAATATACTCCATACTTTTGCCGCTCACTGTACATATACAGGGTCGGAAAGTCCCCATGGTTCATCGGCCGTTACGTGAGAGCGATAAAGTAAGTCATAGAAATCAGTGCGATAGAGAAAGATGGCCAAAATGAAAGCGTCTAATAGTCACCGCCCATTTCTCCCTTCCACAAATAAGAAGTGGATCTTATTTGTGGTAGGGCGAAATGCGCCGCGGTGACTATTAGACGCCTTCATTATAGCCATCTTTCTCTATCGCACGGATTTCTATGACTTTCTTTATCGCTCTCACGTAACGGCCGATGAACCATGGGGACTTTCCGACCTTGTATACTAACACTGGAAAACGATAATTCTTACATAACCTTTCTCGATACACGTGGTGTGGAGATATCATATACGTTTTCTTTTTTATTTTTTTAAGTACTTGGTCACCTGTGAAAAAAATTTATAAATTAATTAAATAAACCCTTGCGTCAAAAGTTGTTATTAACTTGTTAACGTTTCGAAAATCTATCTGTTTCCGTTTCCTGAATGACTTTTCGTTCCAAATTATCTAACCTAATTTTTGCCACTGCACTGATTGATCAACTGGAGCACAAGAGCAAGCAACTCATCAGTCAATTCAACCCATTCTTTGGAAGCGGTTATTCATATACGTTCCCAGCCAAACTTGGACTGTACAGCTGACAGAGTTCACTACCATCAACATTCATCTGAAGAACAAAATCTATTACGACAGCCCCCCAATAAATTTAACAACACCATGTACCTGGCCACATACCACCAGTTACGTAAGATCTTTTTAATAGAAAATACTGCCCTTGGTCAGGCGATGTACAGCAGTATATGTTTTTTTTTAACATTTCAAGAACTATTGTAAATGTTAATATTTTTTTACTGTGAAATTTTGTAACGATAAAATTTTAAAAATTGTATTAAATTATTTTTAATATTTAATAAACAAATATCTATATCTATAGGCTTGATAGATATAGTGGCGCCCTTGCACAAATTAAGTTTCAAAACAGCCCACCAATCCACTGAGTTATTGGAGCTATTTTTATGGGCTTATTCGCTTACCAATTCAGATTGTAAAAGTGTTGCAAAGTATTCTTCTCTGTATCTTTTAGGTAAAACATAAGCTACCCAAAAACTCTTCTTTCATTAAAATATCTTAGAAAATGACGAAAAGATATTACAAAGTTTGTCTCTGAAGGCGCATAACTTTTTAAGGAAGCAAAGGACCCCGCACAAATCTTATGGAAATTGGGTCCCGGTCAAATTCGCTGAATTTTTGATATGTGATAGAGTTCATCATACTGGTCAATTGTCTCAATGGCCACAAAGCTCAAAAATGAATAGTTTGGCCGGTACAGAGCTTTAAAGCTCCGAATATCCTCCACGGATTTATGTATATGCGCAGTGTGTATAGACTTTTGAAATAGCCTATTTCATTTTTTTTATTATCTAGGTTTATATTTTTGAGGTTGCTGAATTCAGATCTGTTGTTAGATTTTCAAAATTGACAGTTGGCAGCTGTCAAATAGCTGTCAATGTGCTATAATAAAGCCAAAAACTTGTTTTTTTATGTTTTATCTTTCTTTTTTTTTAGTTCGATAAGTTCAAAGACGATATCAAATCAATAACAATGACTATCGGCAGCTGTCATTTAGCTGTCAACAATTCTTCAAAGTCCGGTAATAAAGTCAAAAAATTATTTTTTGTTTATAACTTCAAGTTTTTTAGATAAGTGAATATAAATATGATATAAAATTATGTAGTCATCAGCTTACAGCTGTCAACAAGCTGTCAACTAACTGTCAAAATGCAATAATAAAGTCAAAAAGTTACTTTTTTTAAAAAGCTTTAAGTTGCTTAGATCACTGAGTTCAAAAGTGATGTCATAAACTTATATCATGTTTGATTTCTTATCCACAAAGTTAAGCACAAAAAATAAGTTACTTGCTCTATTATTGCATTTTGACAGTTAGTTGACAGCTTGTTGACAGCTGTAAGCTGATGACTACATAATTTTATATCATATTTATATTCACTTATCTAAAAAACTTGAAGTTATAAACAAAAAATAATTTTTTGACTTTATTACCGGACTTTGAAGAATTGTTGACAGCTAAATGACAGCTGCCGATAGTCATTGTTATTGATTTGATATCGTCTTTGAACTTATCGAACTAAAAAAAAAAGAAAGATAAAACATAAAAAAACAAGTTTTTGGCTTTATTATAGCACATTGACAGCTATTTGACAGCTGCCAACTGTCAATTTTGAAAATCTAACAACAGATCTGAATTCAGCAACCTCAAAAATATAAACCTAGATAATAAAAAAAATGAAATAGGCTATTTCAAAAGTCTATACA